CACTGACGAAAAAAACTAAGAAATAAGTTGAAACGAAAATAATAAAATAAGCGAAATGCATGAGAAAGTGTTAAAATAAGAGCAGAGCGCAGAATTACATGTGAGGTCAGCTGGTTAAGAATGTGCAAATGAAATGTCATTTGTCAACTGTCAAAATAAAGGCAAGCAAGAGCAAACGACTTGACTGAGGGAGCTGGGGGGGCTTGGCGCTACAAGCGCTTAGGGGCCAAGCGGCTCTTAAGGGAACGACTCAAGTGGAATAATAATTTCAGCATTCATAAGATGATGTTGTGCTGACACACTTTGCCACGAATGTGCACATTTGTGTGTGAGTGAGTGCGTATTATATAGTATTGCTATTACAATAACAAATTCGTATAAAAACTTAGTAGCTGCCATGTATGTATACTCAAAATGTTTATAACTCGCCAAGCAGCACTGAAATAACAAAATATTTCTAAGTGTGCTTGTGTGTGTTGGTTTCATATAACTATATGTAGTAGTAGTGGTAGTTTCTAAAACAAATGAATGCGTCGAGTCTGGCATTTCATCTTGCTGATGATTTGCGAAATAAGTAGCTGATGATTGTTTGCCTCTGTCACCTCTTCCTCTCTGCTTCTGCTTCATTTTCGTATTTTCGACCCGCACACATATCTTTATTGCATCTTTTTCTTACAGTTATGCTTCACTCTACCCTGGTGTACTGCGCTTTGACTTATGTTTTCTTTTGTCTTCTAAGTTACACCCACACTTAAGTGGCTCAAAATATTACAACTTTCCCATCATTTCGCGGCAAGTTGTGCACTCCGTCGTGCGCCCCCGTTACCGTTACACATTTGGCAAACTGCTTTAATTTTCCATGTGACGTCAAAAATTATTTTACTGCTCAAACCAACGGTAATAAATCAACGCCAACTTTGAAAGCGTAAAACAAAAGTGAAATCGTTATGACATAAAGCGCACACACACACACACACATATACACTAGCACACTCATACACAGATTGATGTGTACTTACATGCATTGCTATGTATGTATGTGTGCATGCGTCTGGCTTCGTCTACGCGTGCTTATATTCGCTTTGGGAGTGAAGCATGGCATTGAAGCGGGTGGAGCGCCGTTGATCCCTTTTGCTGGCGCAAGCAACTGTGACTCTGCCGCGATAAAGGCACGCACAATCTTATATGCACCATTATGCATATGCTTATATGCATGTGTGCTTGTATGCCATATACATATTTGTATGCATGTAGATATGTGTTATATATTTTAGTCGTCCGCTACTATGTTATGGCGCTCATCATTAGACTTGATGTTGTTAAATCACGAAAAGATTGTCTCTTTAAGTTGGATAAAAGCAATGAATGACTGCTTCTTTTTAAGTCTGTGAGTGTTGGGTTGCCGTGTGTGTGTGTGTGTGCATATGTTTTGAGGCATTATAGCTTCGGCTGCGGCAAAATTGCAGCGAATATATTGGCTTTTCCGCTTTTTGACCCGGTTTTGATGGTTTTGATGGTTTCGTTTTTAGTATTTTATATAAGTGTGTAATTAATTCACTCTAAATGTAATGATATAAATTTGTTTTAGTAATGTAGTTCACAGGATATGAAATTCTTCAATATAATTTAAAATAGCAATCGTAATCTTATGATTTTCACTTCAGTGTAGTAAAAGATCTTCTATATTGTAATTAATAAAGTGATAAGCTCGGTCTCATTTCTCTTTTTATGATAGCATTGAACATTTTTTCTGTCGGAAACGTCTGTTAGTAAGGATATTAATTATTCTTAATTGAATTTTTTAATATTTTGTTGGTCCGAGTAATCAATAAAATTTGAAAAAAGAAATTATGGAAAAGTGAGCAAACATGCCAACCAAGTATATTCACTTTTATATATTATTTTATTTGAATATGTGTGATATGAGATATCGTTATACATTCAAATCTATGCCAGTAGGACGTAAACCGAGCCTCGCTCATAGTCGCCTATCTCCTACTCACATGCTCTAACCTTATGGTTGCATACGGAGTTTATAGCATATTGGGTTAGAAATCTATAATATTTTTCATTTAACGCATATTTCGTATTAATATGTTTGAGGTGGTCATTTCAAAAGGAAATTTGAAGGCAGTAATGCGGTGCGGTTCCTCTGAGTAAAGATTGAATACTTTAAAATGGCTAGGAAACTTGTAAAATACCCTCTGCAGTAAATCCCTCTTAGAAATAATTTGAACGGGTTTGAAATACTCGTATTTTTTAATTTTGTTTTCATCCTTCAAGAATATATGAAATTTTTTTATTTTGCACTAACCAATTTTACAACTTTTCGCACTTTTATTTGGAAGCTGAGAGGGTTACATTTGGAAGTAGAATTGTTAAGAACAAAATCAGTAGTTTAGTATTTTCATGAAGAGATTCGTCTTAAATTTCTAATATGTAGAAACCATGGTTGCAGATAATACACTAAAATTCAGTATGTGGAAAATACAGATTTTCATCGTGGAAATACAGCTATTGGTCAACATAATCCGCTTATTTTGCATACTATTGGCAACACTATCACCCATCTTTCACCCAAAAAAGTTTGGTATGGTTTGTGTGACCGAGAAATTGTTGGTCCTTATTTATTTAAATATAATGTCGGTGAAAACATAACCGTTAAAGGTGATCATTATAGCGCCATGTTATACGACTATATGATGCCTGAAATTGAAGCTCGAGCTCTCGGCGACCTTTAATTTCAACAAGGCGTTGCCAATTCCCACATATTGCATCAATCAATGGATTTATTGGGAGAATACTTCAGTGAGCAGATAATTTCTGGTTTTGGGTCGGTCGATTGGCCACCAAGATCGAATGACATCGCTCAGTTAGACTTTTTTCTGTGGGGATATGTAAAGTGAAGACAACGCCGCTTCAATTCAGACCTTGGAGCAAAACATCACGCGTGTCATTCGCCAGTTACCAGTCGAAAAGGACCAACGGAGACGCAGTCGCGGCCACTATTTGAATGAGGAAATCTTCACAACAACAAAACAAAAAAAAAAAAAAACACTGTTAAATAATGTTCTTTCCAATAATAATAAATATTCCCTTTTATGTTTGTTTTCTTTGTTTTTTCTTTAAAGAAGTAGGGAATATTTTATCTTATGGATTTAAGCTAGTTTGACCATAACTATTTTCTTTTTATTAACCACATTGTTTTATTTTGTTTTGTATTATTTTATTTTCCCTTAAGCAAAATGCTTTCACTTTTGTCACATACTACATTCTTACATTACTCTAATTTAGCCATAATTTCTATGCGTTGACCCACACACAAAAGATTTCCAATACACATGCAGCTGTGTGAGCTCTAAAATCTTCGAGTTATATGCGCGTGAGTTAATTCAGCTGTATCGATTCGCTTTTATCTGTTTGATTAACTGATTCGCATTTAAATCACATTAGTGGCGTATATTAAATTAAAAACGCCATAGACGCCTGAGTGCACTAATAGCGCCGCAATGTGCATTTAATGAGCTTAGAGCGCTGCATTCTTCACTCTAGATAAAATTAATTAATCATACGCGCTGAAATAAACACGACACCACACACACATACATATGCAGGAGAGATTTGTGTGCCCAGGCGTGTGTGTACAAGGTGGTGTCATTCGTAACTAGTGAGGGCGTAACTAGTATGGAAGTGAGCACATAAGGTCAATTGTGCAAAACTGAAATTTAGTTGGGAGCCACCTAATATTAAGTTCGACTACCTTTGACCGAGTTATTTTAAGGCATTTTGAATTCGGGAAAATTTTTAGCTTTAATCTTTATCTACATTCTTTATTTTCATATAGTCAAGAGCAACTAATTAGCAAATATTTACACTTCCCCAGCAGCTCATATCATTTATATAAGCAAATAATACATGTGTTATCTAAGTAAATATATACACAACAGCAAAAGCGAAGTCTCGCAAATAAAGGAAAACTTAATCTTCTTACAAGGAACTCCAAAGTGTCTGCTCAATTCACCAACTTGTAATTGAAGGCAGATGAAGAGTGGAAAAACGAAAAGGAGAAGCAACAGGAAAAGCAAATCCTTTCATCGTCCACAAAAGTTGTCTCCCACTTTTCGCCTTAATTATGCCATAAGCATATTTTAATCTCATTCAATTAAGTTCGCTTTTTATTGTTTTCATTGCTTTAATTAGCAGCGCGAGGCAACTACTCGCCCACACACAGCCGCGAACGCTATTTTATAAGTGTGTATGTGTGTGTGGAGTTGCCCGCATGTTTGCCTCAACATCACAATTTGCCATCGTTAAATGCACATATTCGCTTTTCTACTCATTTAATCTCACTCGTTCACTCATCCTCCCACTCCCCACGTGTTTGCTTGTGTGTCAATTGAAATTTAATATATCCGTGGAAATTGAAGTCCGTCATGTATGTTCTATAATAAATGTGGTTTTGTCGTCTCTAACGGATATTATTGGGTTAGTAATAAGGCAAATTACTTCGAATACAATGTGGGATATTTTCTTTGATCAAACGTGATGTTTTAAGAAGGTCGAAAAGAAGTGAGACAGTCCAGATTTTATAAAAGAGGCTTTGGTATACCTTTTTGGTACACCTAACATGATAAACACGCCTTAAATTGATCCTGAAAGTACTCTCAGACCTTCACACTTTTTTGTATAGTAAGATACCTATTACTTCCCTCAACGAACTATTGTAAATTCCCCTAAAGTTTAGAGAAAATAATATGTATATTACAATTTTATGAATTAATGAAAACTATTTTTGAACTTTATGCTAATCTCTATCAATTACCGAAAATATGTAAAATAGAAGCTAACTATTGAGAAATTTCCCGCATAATCTCGTTTCTCGATTTTATCATATGTATAATAATAGAAAGAGATATAATAGTACGAGATGATGATAGTTGTTGGTGATTATGCTGGTTTTTAGATTATCTATGAATTGCAGCTTCAAAACGCCCACTTACCGGTATATTGTTGAGTGTGAACTGAAGGTCGGCGCGTGGTCTCGAGGGTGGTGTGCTGCAGTTGGCGCGCAAGATGTCGCCTGTTTCATAACGCGCATGTTCGGTGAAGAGTTGCGGACGCTTCTCGGGGAATTCTACAAATAAATAAATAAAATAAATTTTAGTTAAATTATTGAATGATAAAACAAAAGTAGAAATTTAGAAAATATCGACATATATCTAAACAACGGCAAATGTCCCAATATATAATTTTTTGGTTCGAAAATAGCCCACATTGAAGGGCTGTTAATCTCGGCCTAAAAGTGTTGTTCTTATTGATACTCTAAAAGTACACTGCTGATGGGGGACGCAGATGAAATTGATGTCGCAAGGCTTAAGAACAGAGGGCCGCAGCCTTTTTCAGCCGAGCAAAAGAATGGAAAGAGGTTGGTCTTGCGGCGAACGAGTGAAAACGAAGTAACTGAAAGTCACATACAACGATTTCTCACAGCTTGGGAACTACAGTACATCGCTGCTAGCAGCTATACATTTGAAAAGTAAAGGACATTGATATATTGGAATTAGCATAAATTCCATTAATAATTTCAGCCTGGAGATCAAGCGCAGAATAACTCTTGCCAGCAGTTGCCATTTTGAAATTGGATGAACAGACCTCTCGATGAACAAAAATTACGTTTCATAAGTCTCTCAATATTCCCGTCCTGTTATATGGCGCAGAACAATAGACGATGATAAACCAAGAGGAGAAAATTAGCAGAAGCGTTCGAGATAATTGTACTTGTACTTTGCCAGATCTCTGGAGCCGTGCGCGTGAGCGATGAAGCGTATAACCTCTACGGGGACACGGATATACTTAGTTAAACGCATACAAATTCAATGAATGTGCTGGTTAGGTCATGTCGTTCACATGGGAGATGGTGATCCAACGAAAGACTCTTTCCAGTCGGCAACGAATAATGTCAGGAAATAAAAAAACATTATAAGTGTGCTTGATGTGTTTTATTTCCAATGTATAGCTGCGGGAATCTCTGAAAATATTGCAGAGTGTTTTTGGAGAACTACTTAATCACGAACACTGCTATTCGAGTGGCACACAGCTTAAAGTTTACCAAATGAAGTTTGGAAATGATCGGCATTTTCTTCATGCCGATAACATGGAAAGAACCGAGGACCTCAGCTTCTGTTATGGATTGTTCAAAATATTTTGGTTAATGTTTTCATTAATATTTTGGATATGAAAAGTGTCAATGTTAGACTCGAACCAAAATACCTGAATACGTCGTCACATTCTAGTATGACTGTGACTGGCCTTTTGGCCAAATAGGAAACAATACTCATCACTCAACCATTGTATTCGTTAGCTTTAGCTCCCCGTATTTTTTGTTTTAATATCCAATACGGGAATATACGTTTCAGAGAACCATGAGTTCATTTAAGCTACTAAAAGTTATTAGCTGAAGGCATCAATAGCCCTCTAAGCCTAGACTTATAACAAGTGTATGGAAATATGATCAATCGTTGGCAGGCTTGTACTGATTTGAAAAGAATCTATTTGGAGGCCGAAATTTGTTCTAAAATATGTGAAAATGTTATTGTTTCGTGAGTCCGGAACAAGTTTGAAGGTATATTATTTATAAGCAAAAATAATGCGTTCCAAATAAAGGTCAGTAGTGAACAAACCTTACAGACTGTTTATTGTCAGAGTAAAGAAAGTAAATTGAGTGCTGCACTAAAACTTTAAGGAGAGGTGGCAAATTGGAGATATGAGAGTCGGCGAGAGTATAGCAGAAAATAATAGCGGGAAAAACCTGCAGGCACTTACGATCAGAAAGTATGTTTTAATATTTTTTTTTTTTAAATTTATTTCATTACTGCTAATATCATTTGATCTTTACAATTTATTTGGTATTAGTAGTAATACCCGAAAACAGACATCTTCAAAGTGCTGTATAGAAATCCTGTTAATTTGTCATTGTAGCACTTCAAATGTCTTCATATTCAGTATAGTTTGTTCTTAAATTTCTTGTCGAATATTTTCTCGAGATAAAGTGAAAAATATTTAAATTTTGAATGCAACCATCAATAGAGATACTCTCAAATGTACTTCTATTTGACTAAGTTCATAAAATCAATTACATCGAAATATTCATAAAACAGTTTGTGGAAGAAATAAGAATCTATGTGAAATAAATATTTCTAGATTCACACACACCTACACTCACACTCATATATATGAAAGCAAGGGCAACATACCTTTGTGTATAATCACACGTTTTAAGTATTCTTTAGATGTTTAACCATGAATATTTACCKTTCGTACACACACACACACTCAAATATTTATATGAAAAATAACATACATATACATATTTCCTTTTATGTGTTTGTATGCCATGCAGCTTCAAGTAGTTACTTGCTGTCATGTCAAACGAATGTAAATGAAACAAAAATATTTGTTAACTAAACACAAAAATAAATACAACCAATCACACACATGCACACGCAGATATTCATATACCGTACAGCTGTGTCTCGGATATTGGAAATGCTTTTTCGTTTGCTTAATTGTTTGGCTTGTCAAGCCGGCGTTGAAGTGTGAATATTTGCACAGCACACAGAAACACACATACACAATACACTCACGAAAATATCGATATGCCGTTATTTATATTCAATGTTTGTAGTATTATATTTGCCAACTTAGTCTGTTGGCTTGAGTTGTGTGAAGATGCCGCAACCAATAACAATTATTGCTTGCTTGGAATGAAACTGAGGTATAGTAAATAAAATGAATGGAAATGCTAGAATGGCAGCAAAAATTAAAGTAGTGAGCATTATGAAGCAACAAATATACAAAAATACATGCATAAGATGATTAGTTAAGTTCAAGCGCTTCTGTTGTGCGCTGTCATTCACACGCGCTACTGAGTGCCCACATGCTTTCACTATTAATGAGAAACTGGCGTTCGGTCACGCGTTTTAAGATAAAAATGTATGATATATACATATAAATACATATAATAATATATGTTTATATAAAATATAGTATATTTATATTATAATTAACAAAATAAAAACATTGAATATTTTGCACTCTGAAAAATAGGTTACTAAATATTATTCTTCATAGATTTTCTTGGAAAATAAATGCAAGTCCCGAACGATTTTTTGTTCACCCCACAGTTTAGAAAATATTAACAGTTGAAGTTAGCTTATTTAAAGACAATTTTTTCCTATGAATTTTATAATGGAATGAATAAAATTATTAAACTCATTATTTTGTAGAAAATTTATTGCTCCTTAAAAATATTCGTTTTTTTACACTTTAAGAATACTATGTGAACTTCCTTTTCTTCAAAATTTTATCTTATAAATAAGTTAGTTAGTTACCTCAAAAACTGAAAGTTTCTACAAAACGTATTAAATTCCGACTCGCCTTCTACATTTTCATCACATCAAGAAATATGCTTTGCAATTCCATTTAGTTGACAATGGACGGCAGAATACTAAGCAAACATGAAAAAGGGAAATGCATAACAATTATTGTACTTGAACTGGGACGCTGTACATCACATTTCGGATGGCGTGCAACGCTGACACCAACGCAAAGCAGTCACAGCGCAGACAAGGAACGCAGTAGCGGGCAATGATCAACACAAACACCGACACATTCGTGACAACAACGCAGCAATCAAGCAGGCGGACAGACAGTCAGACAACCAGATAGATGGATAGATAGCGAGACTCATATATAGACAATACGTATAACCGTTAGAGAGCGGCAGTTGACATGCTTAAGTGGCATACAACACTCCTTGCAGCTGCCAACATAACCGCCATCAGCCACCAGCCACCACTCATCAACCATAGCCACGATTGTCATTGGCGCAGTGAATGTGCGATTGTCTGCATAAAGATGCGTGTAAAACATATATGTAAGTACGTTTGACTACATGTATGTATGTGTGTGCGAGTTTGAATGAGCGAGCGGAGGGCGCCATCATCGTCATCGTTATCATCGTTAGCGGCGTACGTTGACGCACTTCAACACTCCACAATTGTCAGATAAAAACGGAAACAACAAAAATGTAAAAATCTAAACAAAAGCAACAACGACAACAACAACAATGAAATATGAGAGGGAAACAAAACAAGTGCAAATACTTGCCAGTACTTTTGATCTTGTTTGCTGCCATTATATTTGCCATGCAGTGTTGTTGTTGCATTCGCATTCACATTCACATTCATTTGCGCGTATTTGTGTTGTCTTTTGTGTTTTTGTAGCTACACACAGTGACAGTGCCGCGCAGTATGTTTCGTATTCATTGCGAGCGCGTGTGAACAAAAATGCCAACATTGGAAAGCAGCAACGACAACAACAACGAGAACAAACGAAGTCGAGTATAAACAAAAGCAGAAAGCAGCTAGCGCTTCAGCGAGTGGCACAAAACCGACTGTGACATGAAGTATGTAGAGCGAAGTAAAATGAAATGAAGTGGCTCGACGTGGCGGATGAGTGACATTTGCATTCTGAATTAGTACATAACAGTACATGTTGTCGGTAAGCGCGCTCACGCTTGCATTACAACACTCAAACGCACACAGCGTTTATATGTACGGATTTAATGTGTAATGGCAAAGCTAATGAAGAAATGAAAATATTGCGACAAACATGACTTTGGTTAAATGCCAGCGGTTGTCTTCATAAATTGCTTTGGCATGTTTTGAAGTGGACTTTCAGAAAATTCCTTGAGTCGAAACAATGTCGAAGTATGTATACAGACTTATATTTTTTTTATCTCTTTTCGAAAGAAGTTTCTTTGTCCATTGCTTTTGATTTTTTGAGAACTTATTTTATGGAGATCATTAAATTGTTTAGTAATTGCGTTCAATAATTTGGCCAAAATTTACAACGAAATTCTAGTAATTTATTTTAGCATCGTATAAAACATCAGAGAGCAGAAATTTCAACAAATATGAAACTGACTGATTCGTATAAGAAATCTGAAATTTTATCTTGATATAATTGGGTAGTCGTCTCGTATTTCTAATCAAACTTCAGCTAATTTGTATTTCATATTTGTAATGAATTTTTATGAACTAAATATGTACCATTTTGGTCGACACTCTTCTGCCATTTTGCCATTAGATAGATTAATCCTTCAGTGTAAAATTTGTCTGGCTTCTCGGCGAAAAACTGCGACAAGTAATTTTAACAGGCGTCTCTGGAAGCCAACCGAACTACGCAATATTCGACTATCCAATATTTTATTAGTTCACAAATATTATCAATTTTATTAACAAATGGTGCCTACTATTGGACACTTATTATTTTATTTCCATACTAATTGAAGATGCACCGGTGCGTATGAGTAACTTATACTATGAGGTTTCTTATTACCTACTTATCAAGCAGACATATGTCTTACGTAACCGTAAGATATTTCCGCGCACAAACAGAATACTGAGCTGAAACTTATAAAAGTGAGACACACACATAGACACACTGACAAATAGAACTATACCATACATAGAAAAACCTCCTGCATCTTTAAGCGCTTTACTGTCTAACTGTCTGTCCGTCTGTCAGTCTACCTGCCTGCCCGTTTATTTGTTCCTTTGTGTGATGGAGAGTGAGTGAAAATAAAAGCCTGCAAGGCAATAAACTTTGTGCAGCCATGCAGTAAGTTAGTTGCCCCCGAACGCTCAGAGCACTTTGCATTTGGCCGCCACCAGTGTTCGCTTTGTGGGTCGCCTTCTTAAGGCGCATTTTTTGTCTGCATTGCTGATGGGTGTACTCTGTGTTGCACACACAGACACCGGCTTCTGAAGCCTGTCCCACCAGCATTTCAGGTGGCGCTTTAACGTTGTTTTAGCAGAACTTAAATATTTTTTGCTGCTTTATTGCCTACACTGTTTGCTGTGTGTTTTTTTTTTCTACTATACATCGTCTTCTTTGCTTCTCTTTCTTTCCGTTAGCGGCTGCATGTAGCGGTAGATGAGCGTTTTTACTTCCTTCAAGCCGCTCGTTAGAGGGAGTCTTTTTTCTTCAACTGCAGCTTGTCGCTTTGCAGGCTTTTGTATATGTGGGTGTGTGTGGGTCAGTCTCTAGAGTATGCCAGTGTAAATATCTGCTAGCGTGTACTTTATTCATATTATCAGCTTTGTCATTACAAATATAACTGGGCGTTTGGGCGACAAAGCTGCAAAAACTTCCTGATGAAAGGGAGCAGGCATTTGAGTGAGAGGCGCTGGGTTTGTAAAAGCTTAAGTTTCACAAAAAATTACATACATATAGCGCTCTTAAAAAAAGTATTAGAGTGGCAGTTATTCCAACATAAATAAAATATTATCAAAAATGAAATATTCTCCCCAAATTTCCTACTACAACGTAGAGCTAAACTTTTTCTCCGTTTTTCAACAAATAAAATCGTCCTTAACGCTCATATAGTATTAAATTGATCCTATACCATATCACCTCCCAAAAATTTCCGCTGATTTCTTGAATTTTGCAATTATTGCACAACTCATTATCTCTGCAACTTTATCTTCAGTTATTTACTTACGACGCTTAAAAGCGAATTGAATTTTTCAATTATGAATGCACATAATTAGCCAAAACTTTTTCGCAAAACGGCAAACTTTTGACAGTTGAGCGTTAAAATGTGGTCGCCGCCGAAAAAGTAAGTCCAAGAAGCCAAATAATAACTGGAGCGGGAACAAAGTGAAGTAGAATCGTGAACTTACCCACAACTTGTACTTGCGCATAGGCGGTGGCGGTGGAGAAGAGCGGTGCATCGGCCGTGACTTCGCAGGAAAAGTTTCCGGATAAAGTGAATTTCACGTCGCGTATAACAACTTGTGTGGCATTGGAGATAACTTCCTGCAAATGGATAAGGAAAACAATAAATTGAAATTAGTAGATCACCTTGACGGTATTTAAACGATAAATAAGCAGTTGAGTGGATAGGTGTGGTACCGAATAATGATTTGGTATGAAAAATTCTGAGCAACGAACGAATGTTTTTTAGAATTTGGCAAACTTATCAAAGTCGCACACCTTTTGTAGTGTGAAATCGTGAGTTTATCGAAAAGTTTGGGGTTATCTGGTTCAGTAGAATTGAAAGCGATATTTTTTTATGTTTTAAGATACACATACCTCAGAAATATATATTAGAATTTAAATAAAGTCATTCACTTATTTAAAAGCATCAGTTAAGGTGAAATTTTCATTTATATGACCAATAATTAATATAACTAACTAAGACAAAATGAATTTTAAACAGAGATATTATCTAAGTTGAAATAAAAATAAATTCTTGGAAAGATTACAGAAAAAATTAGCCAAGGCACACACCTTTTTTCGGTAACAATATGTTACAGTCTACTTCATGTTCTTAGATTAAAAACTTAATTAAAAATTGTTGTGATGGAAAATAGTATATTTATTTAATATTAAAAATGTATACTTCAATTAGAAAGAAGTACGGGACAAGGTGGAAAGTAGCGTGAAAAGTAAAAGAGTTTATCACCATAAAATGGTCTATTAAAATTTCTACAGTATCGAACTATATGGGTTTGGAATATCCTGTAATAACTTGGAGTAAAAAGTGCGCTTTCATAGATTAAAAAAGTAAAATTCACAAACGGCTTCAAAATCTAATCTAAAATTGGTTCCATAAACTTTCCGTATTCACTTTGTCCAACACTTGTATTCACAAGGCTAGTAATCAACTGAAAAAAATCATAGTCTACATTTAGGCGGTCTTAGCCAAGTCACCTACCATTTTTTAATACTTATGAGAATAAATTTCATACTTACATCCACCTTAATGCCCGGGTATTGGAAGTGTTTCACATTTGGAAATTCACCCGGCGTATAACGGTAGAACTCATAATTGCCACGATAGTATTTGATTGAGTAAAGTGGCGCACCTTCTAGGGAATACTGACAGCGCAAAATGACCGACTGACCACGACGCACCGCTGGTGGCTCAATGTATAAGCTGACGTTGCTGAGAGCGGCCAGAGCGTAATCTGCAAGAAAAATAAGGAGTAAGGAAAAGCGATATTTAAAATGCGAGTAAGTTTCAATAGAATAAATGAAATAATTTCAGAGAGAATATGTTTAATGGAATAAATGAAATAGTTTCAGACAGAATATACCTAATCTAATCTCGAAAGCTTTCGTCACTTATTTTCGCTATATTTAAATAATTTTTTTCACATTGAGTTTTTGTTTTTTGTTTAACTGCTATACTGCTGTAATACAATATATAGCCTACATTTAGAGGTTGAAAAAAGTATTGTTTGAATTTCTGTGTTGGAAAAGTTGAATTTGTTAAAGCTGCACATAAAGCATCGCTAAATCTGCGCGGCAATTTTACATGCAAACGCGTAAATAAAAATAAAATTAAAAAAAAATCTAATATTGAAAATCCAATGGTATTAAGCTAAAAGTTAGCTCGCATGCCGAACGCAATTTCGAGATTTATTTGAACGCCCACCGGATATCAAATTCGGTTATATGCATACACTTTTTGCAATGGGTCACAAAACAAAAACACAAAAAAAAAAAAAAAACCTCATACCCACACATACAAACAACTACTTATATAAAATGTGTTATATGTGCCATACAGTCATCGATCAGCCATCAGTTTTGCTTTCAGCCAATAACAACGAAGTGTCGAGATTGCCAGCGCCACCAAAGAGCGCCAAAAACACATTGTTCCATCTGTAGTATGTTCGATTTTTTATATATTTCCCACTCCTCTATTTTCACCAACACACTTTCCTATTATATTTTATCACTATTGGAACGTAACGCTCTCAGCCAGCCGCTGCGGCGCTCCCTCCTTGTTTGCGGACGTATTTTAAAGCGAAACACATAAATCAATTAAAACTAAAATGTCACACCATTTCGGAAGTTTTCCGGTCCCTGATTTTCAGCCAATTTCAACGCGAATGTGTGTGCATGTTTTTGGAGTCTGGATCCGACGCGTTTGCATTTGCCTAAAGGTCGTTTGTTGTGCTTAGCGCCAATTTGCCCAGCGCGCGCTCGCTCAGTATCCGTAACAAGTCGTGTTGTGTTTTTCAGCGGCAAACAAAAATGATAAAAAAATGGAAATATTGGTGAAATTTTAAATCGCCTTTCCGCTGCCATCGCTTTTTTCAAATTATTTTGGTTTGCTTTTGGCTTTGTCAGGCGCACAACAAATTCAGCAAACAGAACTAAAACAAACTTTAAGCCTAGACTGTAGAACAGTTTTATCGTGTCTCGCACACATATATGTATACATAAATATGTATGTATGACGCCTAAACATGCTGTTGTGTTTTGCGTCCGACAATACTGAGTCTGGTTAGTCTGTACTTCTGTATATATGCTTGTGTACATGCACATACATTCATTCATTTGTACTTTCGGTGTTGTCTAATGGCTTGTGCGGCTGCCGGGTTATGTGTGGTAAATGACAAATAGCTTGTCAATAGCGTATTTCCTCCTGAAATTTTGTGATGTTTTGTTATGTAGAAATGTAGGTAGAATATTTTAAAGGCAGAACAGCCGTTATTTGCTTTCAAGTGCTTTACATTTTTTTATAAAACTATGGAGCAGAAAAAATCATAAAAAATGTTGATATAGTTAAGCGAGTAAGGAGACAGTGACTACGCTAGATAGGTCATGTCGTCTGAATGGATGAAAACACTCCAGAATGTATTCGACACAGTACCCGCCGTGGGAAGCAGTGGAGGAAGACTTCAACTCCGTTGGAGAAATCAGGAGGAGAAGGACCTAGCCCCATTTGGAGTCCCAAAGCGCGCCCAGCACCTAAAAAGGAGAACGACTGTCACGCTATTTTAAACAACTGTTTTACAGTTTCTTTGTTTATAGTCATTTTAGAGCAGCTCATCGTAGTTTAAACGACGGGAATCAGTTATAACTCTGCGGGACCCGACCGGGTGTTCTCCGGTAGACGCCGTGCCCGATGACCACTTTACCTCTTTGAACTCGCCTTTTCAGTATTGCCAACGTCAGCGTGCACCTCTCTCCCAAGAAGATATTTTTGCGAACTGGCGCTGACTGACCCCAAACTGGACGGTGGAGAATAACAGGCGAGCGCTACAGATTTGAGGAATAAGTACGAGTTTTGGAGTCTTAGTCTAAACTCATAACTATGACATCACCTTTTGAGATGCAGCTACGATGGAATATCTCCCATATACTCATCCTCAATTCCCTGTCCTGTTTGGCCAACATTGTTAGTATTGACTCCGTCTACTACATATATATAACAGCCACTCTATCAACAACTCAAAAAAGATGTGGGCCTTCAGGAGTCTAAAGACCTCTTCGACAAGCACGCGGCACAGTTTGGACTTATCACATACCTAGCTCCGGCAGACCCTTCATTATGGAGCGGGTAACTATAATGCCTTCCTTGTAGTTAGTGACCAACCGGAAGTCTTTTATTTCGAAGTGAGCCATTTCGTTCTAGAACACGGATTATTCGAGGTCGACAACAGGACTAGGTCCATTAAACCATTAAATAGACGTGTTGCCTTCCCGTATGACCCCTTTCTTCAGTCAACCTCTGCTCTGATGATTTTATTCCCAGAAACTGTTGGTCCATTACTGTCTCGCTCAGTCAAATGCTTGTAAGAGACGTGATTCTTCGCCCTTTTGCATCGTTTTGTAACCTCAGGTATTTAGAGTCATTTTCATGATTGCTGTGTATGGATATTGGATTCTTATCTAAGTATAAGATATGTATGAAGTAGATAGGTGCCTTTCTAAACAAACACTAAAGCTATAAAATTCCAAAACACGCTGCCTATAATTAGGTCAATTGATAATTTTATTGCACCTGGACTATAAATATTTATGACGCGACGGTTAGTCATTGTGTCCAAGGTTCATGTAGTAGCTTCAGTATATTGTTTATTCAATGATTATTTAGTTTTACATTTAAATTTTTGTCTATCCAATTTCAACTAAAAAAGTGTATATATATCAAACCATTTTTCTTTTTTTATTTCACTTTATTTTTTTTTTTTTCTGAAACTTTTCACCTCTTTGAAACCCAATCAAGTTTGATGAACAATCATGCTTCGTGCTATAAATTCGCTTCACTTAATAAAATTTCATTGCGCCCCAAGTAGTCGAAAACGATTTCTCATTTTCCAGCTGGAGCTTTTAAGTATTACGACCACCCGTTTTCCGGCTAGATTTTACGCATTTAACGCTGCTGCCGGCGCTGTCGGCACTAAATGAACACTCATTTAAGCGATTTTTTTCACTCTGTCTACCAAAGCATTTTTATTTGCTTCATTTCGAAAGAACAATATACATTTTTAGTTTGCTGGCGCTTTCGCGGCGTACTGTTGTTTTGCCGAACGTTTTGTTTATATGTATATGCGTTGGCAATCACGACAAGAGCATTAACCTCAAACGGATATGGCGGCACACACATCAACTCGAGAGCCTTACTATACAAGTTTTTATATATTTGCATGTATGTGCAGATATAAGAGCTTAGCATGACTGAGAGTGGGTTTGGCGGCGACCTGGCAGCTATCAGCCATCAGCTATCCGAAGTTGAAAGACAATACACTTATGAAGACTTGCCTTCCACACGCACCTATTTTTCTTAGTGTCTGTGAGTATGAATATCGGTTTGTGTGGGAGTGTGTGAATGCGTGTGTGTGTGTGAACTTCAGCGCCATCAAAAATCACCATCCACATCAACGTCAACGTCAACATTAACGAGAATGTGTCAAAAACAGGCCATAAGGAGCCATAGACAGGAAAGCAGGTGGAACGCACACCCTCACCGCACCGGCAAGGTTCGATGGCGGCAGGTAAACCGACTGACTGAGTAACTGACTTAAAGTGCGCCTCAGCAAACAGTAAGCTATGACTGAGTGCTGGCGTTGATGACTGCTTGGTATATGTAATATCCGGTTGAGTGTAAAAAATAGCACACACACACACACATATGCGCATATATGCTTTGTGGCTGTCATGTCTCGGTTGAGCAACGCTAGCGAGCGTGAAGCCTGAGTTAAGGGGTATTGATTGCTGATACAACAGCAGCCTAGTATTGATTGCTCCACTCATTTATATACATGTGTGTGTGCGTGTGTGTGAGTCTGAATTGCGTGCTCTTTAGTTGCTGCGTTGTGCGTGAATGATCACGAGTACTCCGTTGCGTCGCTTTATGCTGTGTTATGCACGCTGCCTTTCTTCGTGGTTTCAGCCTCAAAACGGAATGATGAAAAGGCTTTCACCCATTTATATGGAGAAAATCGAAAATGAGTGCTGTCGTTGACATTTATGCTGACTGCGTTGTTGTTAACCGCTTGGTTGGCCTTTTTCCTTAAATATTATATTTATTTTTCATTTCAAGTGTATTCGAGTATCGTAAACAAACTTCAAGAGCGTGCACAAACGGAGCTGGAGTCAATTTGAGCCAATAAAGTGAACGACGGAAAATTCATTTAAGTAAAATCACCTTAGAGTATTTATGTGCGCATAGTTGTGTGTGTGTATGTGTGTGTGTGTGATATTGTAGGTAATAGTCGTGAGGGGATAACAAGTAGGGCATTTTGAATAAATATGTATTTCTTAGTGCAACTGAAAATGTAGTGTTGTTAGTAAATAGTGGGTTGAATATAAAAATAAAATTCTAAATATCGTAAAATAGATTTTTAAAAATTAATAATTAAAATAATAAACTAAATACAAATTTCAAATTATGTAAAATTTAAAATTAAATTTTTCATAATCTTTTTTAATCTGATATTTAGTATTTTTGTCTAAAATTCTAAAATTTTTGCAAAAATTACTAGATAAAATATCTAACTCATTTTAAATTGCCGAAAAGCTTTTAACTATCAAACTAGGGTACATTTATGGTTCATATGGTGATTTCGGTTTCATAAATTTAGTACTAATGAATAAATAATATTAAATATTTTTTATTTTTTTATATTTTTACTTATATTTAATATGAAGAAAAACTTGTAAATTAAAA